CAACTCGATCATAAAGTAATTACGAAATCGTCCAAGTAGGCTAGGCCACGTGTAGACGGTTAGAAAGAGAGACGAGGTGTATTGGTAATCTATAAGAGGATAATTTCCTATACGATGGATATACCCTTCAAATTAGTAGTTGTAAACACCGAACTGTCGAAATAGACAAAGAAACAAAGATGGAAAACGGGTAGAAACAGAAGTCTAAGTCTAGTTGAGAAATGGAAAGAAATAAACATCTGAGGATTACTTAATAGAAAACAACAGGTTTACAAGGAGGGGGGCTGTGTCCGTAAGAAGTGGTTTAGGTGGCGGATAACTTCAGATAATTTACACGTTGCAGTAGCCACGACTTCGGAAAACTAATGAACTTAACGTGCTGTCGGCCTATATGTCAACCTTCGTACTAGATCTTGGCACCAAAGTTGTCATATTCTAATAGACTCGACCAGTACCTAGTACTTAGGTAGAAAACTTAGTAAGATCACATAATCCTATTGAAGTAGTCCAATTAATTGGCGAATTCGCCTTCCTTGTAAAACATACAAACATATTATTTACTCATTGCATGTTGAACCAGCTGGCAGCAACAAATGCGTTGTCAATGACACTCAAAGCAAGTACGACTACGTCTTTAACGCCTCATTAGCAAATAAACGCGTAGGCGACCAGTTGTAAATTTTTTTATTCACCCGCCTTTATTTCAGTCCAGTATATGCCACCGTGAGCTGTTTGCTGATAGAAAGTTTAGCCATGTTAGCAATACACATGATTCGCTCACCATAAAGAAAATATATCTTATTTTTTAATGCTCTGACCTACCGCATCATCATTAGGACTTCTAAAGAATACTCAAATGCTATGTCTTGATTTACTATGCTGAGAATTCCCGAGAAGAAAGGTACCGTGAATATATTCATTCAATTAACTCTTATAAAACTACATATAATTGGTGGTATGAATAGCGCCTCATAACGTAGTGCGCAGACAATCCTATAGAGGGAGAGTTTAGGAAAAAGGAAAAAGACACTCAGTGAAACCGCGCACATACGAAAATACGCAGAATAAAAAGAACATCTATGCAAATCGGTATGCGGAGGAAAGTGGGTAAAATAAGGAAGGTTAGCATAAAACGAACGCCGGAGATTGGAGGAAGGTTTTATTTGCTCAAAGAATTAATCTGTAAAGCACCTTGCCGCGGAAGACCAAAGATAATAAACTTCAACAAAACAGATAGGCATTAATTTTATATTGGAGGAGCACAGAGGGCTCTGCAATAACTGGGATCTAACATTTAGACACGGAAAACCTCAAAGTTAGCGAAATTTTGAAAATGTTTGACTTGTTTGGTTTTTAAGATATTCTTGACCTTCAGAAGAAATAGGGAAAGCACAGTCGCTGCCAGACAGTCTCCGTGCTACCAACGATCAAATGTTTCAGAATGTACAAATAAATATGAAAATATTGGCGTATTTGCTAAGGTTTGGTTCAACCACTTATCGCTTTAGCCCATTTCGACTTTTTCCGTTTGTTGAAAGTATAAACCCTTCCGTCACAGACAAACCTGACTTTCCGAAGGAATGAAAACGTTCGCGTTCCAAGTATCGGCACGGATAAGGAAAACGACTTGTCAAGCACCTGCATTTTGCACGGTCTTATACTCTGATGCCGAGATGCCAGACTTTTATAGAGCCGTTTGATGTGGCATCCTGATTTCCGTTAAGAAACCTGTGGAATGTATAATTATTGCGAAATCTGATTTAATAAAGGCCATCATTCACGAATGCACGAGCAATGATACAGTCCAGCGCTTTTATCCCATCGAAGATAGGGAAACGATGACTTGTTATAACCCTAAAATATTCATTTGCTATCATCCTGACCGGGAGTGTCAGAGGAACGTTTGATGTTTACTGCTTGAAATGACGGAAATAATTTCGTCGGAAGGGCTAAAACAACAGGGATTTTTATCGCGGCGTATTGAGTTATCTTGGAGACCCTAACGAATACGACCTTCAGACCCGATTCCTTATGGAAAAAGGATAAATGAAACGCCCGGTGGCAGGAATAGGGAATTTTATAAAGAACTATTTGTGAAAAGGTTAAAAGAAGTTGGCAGCCAGACGAGCGCACCTCTGGAGCCATGGGAATGGCTTCCAAACCGTGAGATGGTGCATATCCTTACAGCGCCACAAGCTATGTTTTGTGTGAGTAAGTTTTGAAGGTGACAGGCCAGTTATGATCGAATCAGTATACACTCACGCCCAGCTGCAAGCAGTCACGAGAGGTGGGAGGTTGAGTGTTGCACTAGGAGTTGACCCCTACATTCCTTACTCATTCTCCTTTTCCTCCTTCTTCTCGTCTTCCATAAGCAGACTCAGGGCGACTGTCGACAGCACATCTAAGCTTATTCGTGGCTTAGTGGTGAAAGGTCAAAAGGCTGCTGGAAACGGGTGGTCGTCAAAATTATTCACTTTTACCATGGTCCTTTAGTGGGTTTTCCTGTTCGCGGGTTTGACGGGCGATCGTGACACGAAAAGCCTTTAACGGGTACTCGACACTCTTCATGCCCCTGTGACTGAAATTGCACTGGAAATGCATTATGCTCAGAGGCTATTCCCGGTTTTGTCTTTAATTTGCTTCTATGTGGAATACGATGACCTCATCAGCAATCGCATCCAGCGCACCCTTGAGCGATAACCTTAGTGACCAGTGAAATTCTTTTTTCTATCGACCCTTTACAGACGGCCGATGATCGAGGCGAATCCTTGCATATACCATCCTGTGGTATCTGCAATTAACAAAG